TTGTCGTTTTTACAGAGACAGAGTTCATAATGTCGTTTTTTGTCATTTTTGTAATTTTTTATCATTTCTACCACGAAAAGCCAGAAATATCTGCTTTATATCACTACTCGGAGACAGAGTTCATAATGTCGCTTTTCCTGTAAGTTGGCACGGAGTTTTATTTAAGGGAGGGGGGGAGGGGGGTACAGAGGTGGCTTGCTAGCCCCCCTCCCCCTCCCCCCCCCGTCCTAGGGAATATATAAAAGGTAAGAAAAGTTAGTTTTTTTTTATTCTGGGTTCGCATGATAGCCTGGTTTTGGGTCGTTCTCTGTAATAAATTACCTGTCAATTGCACAAATCATTTATTTAACATTTATTTAACAAATCATTTATTTAACATTTATTCATTAAGCAGTGAGAACTCCCAAGACAAATTCCTTTACAATTCGAATATTTCATTATTAAATAATCCCTCGCTTCGATAATACAAGAGCTTTTGTCTTGGAATTCCTCTATTTTCGAAATGCCATCGAAGGAAGTCTAACCATTTCTAGGAACAAAGATATTGGTCGAAAAAAAAAAAAAAAAATTGAGAAGAAAATAGTGTGTGTTTTCCTACCTCGAGTGTTCGGACGAGTTCGTGATGATGGGATGGCTTTGGCTTCGGTTTGGTTGGGATCCTCGTGTCCGATTCGTTGCCCTCAGATTCTAAAGTTGTATAAAAATGGGGCGGATGATTGATAATTTCGTTAATGGTTTTGGTATCATGTGTTTTGCATAATTCAGTTTGAGAAGAGTTAGCACGTTTGGAATGTCAATATTCTTCCGTTTCCCCCAATCTCTTTCTCTCTCTCTCTCTCTCTCTCTCTCTCTCTCTCTCTCTGTCTGTCTGTCTGTCTGTCTGTCTCTCTCTCTCTCTCTCTCTCTCTCTCTTCTCTCTCTCTCTCTCTCTCTCTCTCTCTCTCTCTCTCTCTCTCTGTCTCTCTCTCTCTCTCTCTCTCTCTCTCTTCTCTCTCTCTCTCTCTCTCTCTCTCTCTCTGTCTGTCTGTCTGTCTGTCTGTCTGTCTCTCTCTCTCTCTCTCTCTC